TACTAATGAATATCTCTTACCCGTGCATCGCACGGGATTCGTACTAGTTATATAGTAATAGATAGATTGCCCTTCATAGCACTTTGGAAAACAATATATTGCACTTTATCATCACTTCACTTTATACATTAGTATGTTGCACTTTATAAAATATCGAGTTGCTAATACGTAAAATTTTAATATCTAAAAATATCAAAATAATAAATATAATTTTATAATAATAAATAATAATTTATTTAAATTATTTAGGTTAATTAGATATTCAATTACGTCTACTAATTATAGGTTTCAAAAACACATCATTTATAAGTGATCATATAAATTAGTGCACTTTATATACCATCAAATTGCATTTTATAACAAAACACGTTGCACTTTATCATCACACTCCACATTTTATCATCGCTTCACTTTATACATCAGTATGTTGCACTTTATAAAATATCGAGTTGCACTTTACAGAACACCACGTTGCACTTTAACCGCTGTCAGATTGCATCATATAAATCGGAACCAACCGAACTCGAATTTTTTTATACCTAAAATAATATAAAATAATAAATAAAATTATTAACATATTAAATATAATCTTGATATAAATAAAAAATTATTTCAATTATTTGGGTTACCCGAACCGAAAATATTAATTAATTATGTTCATTTTCAATTTCACTCGGGACAAGTGTTCGGTTGGTTCGATTCGCACACAACACGCAGCAGCCGCCGGAGCGCCGTCGCCGTCGCGCCGCGACGCTGCAGTTCGCCGTTTCATAGCATCGTCACCGTCAGCAGACACGACTCTTCGTCTTCCTCCGCCGCCGCCTTGCATAGCCTTCATCCGCCGGCTCGCCGCCTCGTCTCCGTCCACAAGCACGTATCTTCCTCTCCGTCCATCACCGCGTCGCAATGTCGTCATCCGCCGCCGCGTCGCTTCGGTTCCGTCCGCCGCCATGTCACTTCACCCCCGTCATGTCACTTCACCCACCGTTGGTCAGAGTGTGTGTGTGTGTGTGTGCATGTGCGTGTGTGTGTGTGTGTGTCCACGTGCGTGTGTGTGTGTGTGCAGAGGTTTGTATGTGTGCTGCGTGTGGGTAAGGTTGATGTAAGTGTGTGTTAGTGTGTGAGAGAGAGTGGGGAGTTGTTAATGAAGGGGTGGGCCCCACGTGGTGTTGGTTGAATGATTGTATTTTAATGACCAATTTGTCCCTTTTTAGTGGTCAAATGTAAATATTTGACCAAAGATTATACACTTATTTACAAAACTGCCACTCATGTTTGACTGTCACATTTAATATTTGACTTGATCAAGACCATTGATATGTTGGATCCAATGATCCCGACTCATTCTTATTTCTTTCACTGTCTATCATTGATTCCTTCTTTTTCTCTCTCTCTCTCTCTCTCTCTCTCTCTATATATATATATATATATATAATTAAATAATTTTTACCTTATATGCTCACTATGAGTGCTAACTTAAAAAAAAAAATTAGAACAAAAATAACTAATTTATTATTTTATATGTAAAAAATTGATAAAATGACAATAAGTATTGAGTTATATATATGATTAAAATATTTACTTATTTAGCAATACAAAAGACAAATAAAGGTTATTCAATTGATTAATAGATTTTTTTTATGTAATAATAAATGTACTAGTACAATACCCGTGTACTACACGGGTGTTTGAAAAAAAAAATATTATAATAAAAAATAAACATTATAATAAGAAATGAATATATATAAAAGTATTTATGTTTATATTATGAAGTCATCAAAATAAATGTACAATAAATAAAGAATAATTATTTATAATGACATACATTTTTTATCCTCAAATTATGAAAAATAGAAATCATTTTAATTACATTTATATGTGTCTAACAAAACTATTATTTTTAACTCTATTAATTTGATTTTTATTTTTTAAAAATTCAATTGGATAAATTTGAATAAATATGAGTTATATCTCCATTGGAGTAAGATATGGAGAGTGAAGTTATATTTGTTTTTTGGTGGAAGAAAGGAGAGGACAACAGTAAAGGGGTATATTGGCAGGCTTGGGAAAAGATGACATTGTCAAAGCAGAACGGGGGCTTGGGATTCCAAAACATCAAGCTATTCAATAAAGCTCTAATTCTGAAACAACTATGGAGGATATGGGAGAAGCCAGACCTGTTAATTAGCAAAGTTCTGAAAACCAGGTATTTTCCCTCTTGTTCTATCTTTGATTATGAGAAGAAATCAGGAGTATCATGGTTGTGGAGTTCATGGTCATCATTTATTCCTTGGCTTAAGAAGCATATAACTGTTGTCATAAAGAATGGTAATGATACAAAGCTAAATGATTTCTGTTGGATCCCTGAGTTAAGAGGGGAGAACCTTAAATTAAAAGTGCATGTGGATGGTGATAAATTCAGAGTGAAAGATTTAATTCTGGGGAATGGTCTTGAATGGGATGAAGTGTTGGTGAGAATTCTTTTTCCATCTGAGGTGGCTGAAAAAATACTGGCAATTAACACCATGAATCCAAGGTGTGCAGACTTGAGGCAATGCACTTTTGTTGATAAGGGATGGTTTTCAGTCAAAAAAGCTTATGAGGAACTCTGCAAGTTGGAGGTGTGTAGGATCTATTGGGCTGAAACAAGTAGATTAGCTCAAAATAATAAGAGGGCAAGGATGAGATGTTGGAATCTGAAGGTTACTGGTAAGATAAAGCACTTCATTTGGAGATGCTTTACCAATATACTACCGGTTAACTGCAATCTGAGAAGAAGAGGGATGGAGGTGAACACCATTTGCAAATGCTGTGGAGAAAAGGAGGAAACAGTGGAGCATGCTCTATTCAGGTGCTCAAAAGCTCAAGATATCTGGACTGTGGCCCCAGTTCAATGGAACAGACAAGATGAGGAGGAAATCACCTTTCAAGACTGGTGGTGGTGGTTGAGTTCAATGGACTACAAAGAGATATCTGAAGACAGAATTCAATTAACTACATATATATTATGGTGGTTATGGAAGAGCATGAATTTATGTGTTTTTGAGAACACAAGGATACCAGCAAAGAGGATCATTGACAATGCAGTACAGGACTGGAAAGATTTCCAAGAAGTGTAGATGAGCAGACTGGGATATACTAGGTCTAGTGTCAGTTGTATGTTCAAGTTTGTGTATCTGATTTCATAGTTGAGTTCCTGTGTGTGTTTTGAGCATTCGGGTGCATGTCATTGATAGTTGAGCTGGTTATGGAATGTTGTAATTTTTATTTCGATTAGGTTGCTGATGGATATGTAACCTCCCATTATTATAGGCTGCGTAAGACTTGTGTACTATTTGGCCGATTGGCTTATGAATATGAGTGTTGATGTCTTTGGGAAAAAAAAAGTTATATTTGAGTTTTTTTGTGGAGAACTAGTATGGTACCCGTGCGATGCATAGGAGCATTTATTACCTATTTATTTTTTGAAAGGTATTGTTGTATTTAAATTTTCTCATGCCATTAAAAATTTCATGAAAATGAAATTTATATGTTATTAAACACTTCCTTATTTACAACATTATTGATTTAATTCTTTAGCACGTAAAGTACTACATAGGTGTTCGAATTTATCTAAAATTGCATATTATTAGTTATTAGTTAACAAATTTTAAAAAAAATTAAAGGATCTTATTTATTAAACAAAATAAAAGTAGAAAAAAAAGTAGAATTTTTTAGAGATTATCACTCATTATTATTTTAAATCTAATTCTAAATTTCAATTAAGAAAAATTGAAAAGAATCATTAGTTACTCCTGGAAATGAAACCGATTTTTCTACCAATAAACCGATTTTTTTATCAAACAAATTGATCCGAATCTTTTTTTAAACCAAATAAAAAAATTATCAATTTTTCTTAAAAATGCAACTGAATTTCTTAACATTGCACCGATTTTTGTACCAAACAAATTGAATTGAAAATAATTCTAATAAAAATTGAAATAAGTTTTTAATGTTTATGCAACTGTCTCTTTCCTAAAGAAAATGATATGAACTTAACCAAAAAAAAAATGATATGAACTTACCAAAATCTCGGTAAAACATGGTTAAGAAAAAAAAACATAAGAATCTAAAAAAAGCGATGCATTTAAATTTTGAAAAATTGCACACAATTTTTCCTAAGTAATTGGATAAAGTGACTTTAAATATCAATGATGAACTGCTTTTGTTATAAAAAAATATGGACATAATTTTGAATGTACATCCCGTCCAAATATCAGTTTATTTTAATATAAAAATTGCACGTGACTTTATTCAATTTACACAATTCTTTTAAATGAAAAAATTATTCAATAAGATTGGAAGAATTGGTTAAAAATTATACAACTATTTGCTTCCTAAATTTGTATTCAATTTGTACGGTTTTTAAATTAATTTATATTTAGAATTATTTTCATAAATAATTGACACATTTTTTGCATAAGAATCTCCAAATTTGTTAACAAAAATGATATGATTTAAATTTTGGTAAAAAAATATTATATTATGATATGAAAAAAATGGGATTCAAATTTTGCCATAAGAATCTCCAAATTTGTTACCAAAAAAATAGGATTTAGATTTTGTTACTAAAGATTCACATGTGCTTTTTTGAACTTTCCATTAATAGTAAGTCAAACATTATATTTATTTGGTCAAACTTTCTATTAATGTATTTTTTCAACAACCTTTTTATATATATATAGATATCAAATTTAATTATGGTTATTCTGAACCTGATAGGTCGAAAAATGTACACATTTTATATATTTAATAGTGTATTCTTGTACACTTAATTTATTCGCAAGTTTATATTTTTTGATTTATTTATTTATTAGATGGATTCTGGTGCTTTGATATTTTTATTGTTTATTTTTAGGATATTGGAGTATTCATGTAGACGACGAGACGAGGCAAAGAATTACTACTGAGTTGGGCTAATGCTAAATAATTAAGGCCCAATATGATAATTAATTTGGATCATGGGGATTAACAAGTCGGGGGGAGATGTGAGATTATTAAGAGGGCCAAAGTGTTTTCATAAAGTTAGCCCACTAAAGGTTACTGGAACAAATTAGAGATATCTTCATTGCCTTGGAGACATTCACACAGCCGACATCAATATAAGGGCAACCATTATTTATTTACGAGGGGAGAGGAATTACTTGGGCAGTCTCATACTAAATACCAACGGAAGTCTCATACTTTGATTCGATCTTCGCGTCTCGTCAGTTCGTGCTTCGATCTTCGCGTCTCGTCAGTTCGTGCTTTTTTCTTGTGTTTTCTTTTTCTGTGTTTCCGATTCGTATGATCCATGGAAAGTTGATAACTTTTTTTAATTTTTGGTTTTAATATTTCAATATTTTTATAATTGCAGTTGGCAGATTCAACCCCAGCTATGAGCAAATTGCTTGGCTCCGAAGCCGATTCTCAAAGAACTCTGTATGAGTACTCTAATTTACTAAGTTACTTATGGACTAAGTTACTTATGGAGATCCTTTATCCTGATTCTCCAAAAGTTTTTTTAAACTAGGGTTTTAGCTTAATCGAATTTATTTATGATGTTTAATTGGATTCTATAATATGGGTGTTTATTTGTTTATTTATGTTCATCTTTGCTTATGTATTGATCTTCCTCTGATTTTTTTTCCCTTATGGAGTTTCTAATTATCTTTATCTTGTAGGTATCCATATGTTACTGGTACCTCAGTGGTTGGCATCAAGTATAAAGATGGCATTCTCTTGGCTGCAGATATGGGAGGTTGGGTTTTGCAAATTTGCTTCTTGTTTTGCTTTTAAGATGCCTCTAGTTAAGAAACATTTAAGTAGTTAATCATGGACATGAAGGTGATTCTGATTTCAATTTTTATGCATCTATTTAGACGTGTTTAAAATATGGATCTTGATTGTTACTTTCGGAGGGTATCTAGTTTTGAATCTTATAATTTATATATTTCAAATCTGTACCACACTAGTGGCGTCTTTTGACCAAGTTAAATTGAAGTGGGCTGAACTCTCTGGACATGCTATGGAAGTTTGATATTTGAAATGAGATTATATGTATAACGTATTTTGACTATGATTTCTGGTTTGCATTTGCCTTGAAATATCTTCTGGCTATCTAGTTAGGAATATAATGTGAAGAGAAAAACAAACTGTTACGCATGCTAGTTAATTGAAAATTGAGCTAGTCTAGTCTTGTTGAGAAAAAATGTAAGGGAATTTCCAGTAACTGGCACGTCTTTATTTGTGGATTGCATTCAGATATTGCTGAAGAAAAAAAGCTGTGGCTTTATGACTGAATATACTATTTAGACATTCTGTTCTATTTGCTGTCTGTTCAGCAGCCTGTTATGCTGTGAAGACATTGTTTGTGATTTGTTAATTGGTTGAAAATTTCTTGATTTGGGTAGGTTACACTGATTATATGGTAATATACATGTCAACTTCATGTCGGTTGATATGTCACCTTCGTTTGCCTGTTTCTTGAAATTCGTAAGAACATATGAAGGAGATTGTCTTGGATAACTGTTGAGCCCCAGTGACTTTAGCTAGTTGATATCCAATATTTAGCTGAAACTGTTTTGTTCTTCTTACTTCTGGTCCATTGGCATATGTGCATGCAAACTGCTCAATCTCACGCTCTGTTGTTCACAACTTTTTTTTATTCTTTAATAGGTTCATATGGGTCTACCCTGCGTTACAAAACCGTGGAGCGATTGAAGCCTGTAGGAAGGCACTCTGTTATAGGTGCCAGTGGTGAAATAAGCGATTTTCAGGAGATAATGCGCTATCTTGATGAGCTTATGTAAATCTTATATAACTTGACTGGATATAACCTTTTGATTTCTTTCCGCCGATTGCTTTATGCTGGGTTGGCTGGTAATGGTGCTTGTATGAGTTGTGGGAATTATATGACTCTTTGTTTTTGCATTTTTGGGATGCAGCTTATATGATAACATGTGGGACGATGGAAACTCTCTGGGACCTAAGGAGGTCCATAACTACCTGACAAGGGTGATGTACAATCGTCGTAATAAGTTCAACCCACTTTGGAACTCACTTGTGCTTGGGGGAATAAAAAACGGGCAGAAGTATCTTGGGACGGTATGTATTGTTTCTTCTATGTGTAATCAACAATGTGCTTATTAGTTTGAGGTATACCTGAGTATGTGATTTCTGCATTTTTATATATATATATATATATATATATATATATATATATATATATATATATATATATATATATATATATATATATATATATATATATATATATATATATATATATATATATATATATATATATATATATATATATATATATATATATATATATATATATATATATATATATATATATATATATATATATATATATATATATATATATATATATATATATATATATATATATATATATATATATATATATATATATATATATATATATATATATATATATATATATATATATATATATATATATATATATATATATATATATATATATATATATATATATATGCATGTATGTATAAATATATTTGCTTTATGTAAATCAGGTTAGCATGATTGGTGTGCACTATGAGGACAACCATTTGGCAACTGGATTTGGTAATCACCTTGCTCGGCCCATTCTGCGTGATGAATGGAATGAGAACTTGACATATGAAGAGGGTGTAAAATTGCTGGAGAAATGCATGCGTGTGCTCCTTTATCGCGATAGATCGGCTGTTAACAAACTTCAGGTATTTATAACTTCTTTGAAGAAATGCAACTTTGGTACTCCTTCGTTATAGGTACTAATACTCTTTTGGGCCAAGATGTGTGTACTGTTTTATTTTAGAACTAGGTGAATAGATCAATAACTCAAGACAGCCCCACATTTGAATTCCAAAATGAACTAAGAATAACAAAATTCTCCTTAAAGAATTGGCCAACTTTTTTTAATGTTCATGGGAAAGTGGGGACACCAATTGATATTTGGTTGTACTCTCTTTGCTCCACAAATTATAGTTAGCTTCTTTAGTTGTAACCATGAGAATCTTCATTTCAGATTGCAAAAATCACTGAGGAAGGTATCACGATTTCTAAGCCATATGCATTGAAGACTTTCTGGGATTTCAATGCTTTCAAGAATCCCACTGCAGGTGCTGAGGGTTCATGGTAGTTTGGATGGTTTTCTGATCTGGGAAGCAGAAAAAAATGAGAGTATCGTGTGTTTGTCTTAATTGACTTGAACCAGTGCTGCATTTTGTATTTCATTTACTACTTTGGAACTTTGTCCTGCTGTCATTTTCGCAAAGTTCGTCGTCTGGAGTATGGTTAATTTAATCAAATGCTATGCTGATGACTCTTAAAATTGATTTAAGTTTCAACACTAGGTTTGAATAGTTTACTTGTTTTATTCATTGGCCAATTATGTGAAAAGTAATTAAGTACTTATCCAAAAGGCAAAACCCAGGGATGTGTGACATTTTTTTTTTTATTTTTATTTTTTCCCTGTAATCTCACTATTACTAGGTTTTGAACTATGTATCAACATTATCTTTTCACTAAGGCTACGGATTTTCAATGAAAATTTGCATCGAAACAACATAAATAAAAATATAAAAAATTTGTAATATAAGCTAGCATTTCTTTACATAAAAGTATAACAAGTCGATTTGTCTAAGTAAATCTAATTAGGCAAGTATAAAAGTCGATCTGTCTAAGTAAACCTAATTAGACAAGTCAACGGTTAGATAACTTTACTTTTTTGACAAGTATACATGTTTTCAAATTAAAATGTCATACTCTACAAAATATTATGAACAAAAGTATGATATTTTGTTTTATAATTATACAATTTTGTTAAAAGTATATGATGGATCGACTCATAAATTTGTGATTGAATTATGACTCATAAATTCCATAATATTAAAGACATCATGAAACGTCCAACTAAAAACTAAGCTCAATAAAATACGATGTAAAATCACATGAGGCTAACTGTTTTTTTTTAATTATTGTTTGTACCTCAAGAGCAATCAATAATACTCTCTGGGGTCCTTAAATTTTATTTTTAATTTTTTTTCCTTCAGAAATAATTTAGTCAATTTTGCAGCTGAATGGTGTGCAATTTATTTGGATATAAAAAGAGGGAAACGTGAGATGAAACCCAAAGGAATGGGGCCAAACTACAAAGAGAAACACGAAACCAGACAAACTAACCATAAGACACAAAATCTCAACCATCCAAAAAAGAAAAAAGGAAAAACCTTTGATACTTTCGTCTTGAAAAACCCCAACAATATCTCATTTCATTTCTCTCTCTCAGAATTTCTTGCATTCTAAGAAGAAAACAAGCAAGTGGCCTTTTTCTCTTTTCCCCATTTTTCTTGATATTATTATGCTAAGTAACTGAATTATGGGAGAAGAAGGAGAAGAAAAGAAGGTGTCTGGTGGGAGAAGAATAGTGACTGGATTTTCTCCAGTCTCTTCAGCTCATGTTTTCTGGAAATCCAGAAGAAGCTCTGCTGGTAATTATGTCTTACCTTATTTTTCTTTGAAAAACAAAAAAGAACAACGTATTGATCTTTTGTTTGCTTGTCTTGGACTTTGTTTTACTTCAATTTGTAATTGCTATGTGAGTCTTTGTTCATCAGGGCTAGTGTGTACTCATTTCATTGCACTCTGTTCTTTACTATAGTTTGTATAAAATCCTATTTATTTATTTTTTTGCAAAAGAAAATATTAATCTTATTTTCAGTCCACACAAGTCACAACACTCTTGGATTCTTGGGCACAGTAACACCACTCCTAGTTGTTGGGGATTGCCTAGGATAAATGGGCCCTCACTAGTTGTTGGGCTCTAGTTAGGGCATCCACAACCCAAATACACAATTCATATTTATTCAAAAAAAATTAACAATCTCTCTCATCTCTCTCTCTCTCTCTCATGTGGTCCGAGGATGAACAAAAATAGGAAGACTGGCTTTAGACCTTTGCTGAAATATCACTTTTAGTAGCTAGCTGTAAATATATATATTTATTGCTTTAATGCTTTAATACTAATAGTAATAATAATAATGAAAAAAAAGGAATAAACTAATAGCATGCTCTCTAGTCTCTAAGTTGATCACAAGTCTTGTTCTTTACCAATTTTGTTTCCTCCACAAAATGGCATTTCCGTTTTGCTTTTTCAGTTATCAATTTTGATTTCCCCTCAAAATGAGCTGAAGAATGAATTACCAATAGATCCTACACGTCCGGTTTTCGAACTACAATTGAACTTAGTTTTAACTAATTCTTTGTGAACGGTATATATAATCAAGGTTCGAATGACCAAATTCGTCTACTATGTTTCATTTGTTACCATCCCAAAAGACCAGGCCAGGGAATAGAGTTTTGGTGGGTTAGTGCTTTTTTACAAAGAAAAAAGCAAAAAACTTTAAGGGGCATTTCCAGATTTTCACTGACTGCCAAAGTTTCTATACTCATAACAATGCAAATAAAACTATAACAGTTTTCGAAGAGATTTTGGTTGACTGGGTGAAACTGTGAAAGCACCTTAGCACCTGCCTTGGTTTTACTCGACCCTGACTTCGCCTGGCATTGTTACGTCATGTTCGAAAAGAACATTCATTTGCATTTTCTCAGTTACCAGTTAGAGGGAGATTAGTTCTCTTTGCAAGGGTAGAAAATTTTCAAGGCTTCAAGTTTGGCTTCAAAATTTGGCGGAATATCCGTTTAGGTGATTGTGTATATGACGTGGAACAAATGTCGTATAGCTGCTCATATATAGAGATATCAACCTTCGGGCGATACATTCGTTTGAGATTTCTAATTACTTTTTAACAGTGGCGGATCCACATGTTGTATAGGGGGGGCTATTGTCCCCCCAAAACTTTTAGTTTTTTACTATGCATATACACATTATAAGTATTTTATCGAAATTTTATCCTTTACTAGCTACATAAATATATAGTGTAAGCATATTCAATTTTACCTACACTCAATAATTATTACTAATTATTATATTGCTTCTACTAATCATTTTAAGTACATTATATTTTTGTAAGTATTTTTTTACTCTTCATCTATAATATTTGGTGTTTTTCTTTGTAATATAAGATTTAATTGAACTGAATGTATGATACATGTAACATCTTACAGTAAAAAAATTTGAAATAGCAAAGCATGCAAGATACACAATTTCATGGGATCAAAAAGTAATGGCAAGAACTATTAACACTGAATTAATTGTTAATGATTCCCCTTAAAAAAACAAAAAGAAAAAATTCAATTGATAATGAGTCTTGTGATGTAAAATAATCTCAAACAAAATTTTAAAAATACCAAAATTCATAAGTTATATATTTTGTGAAGCATTTTTATCGTTTATTTTATTTATTTAATATATAAAGAAATTGTATACCTTATATGTGTGTGCGTTATAAAAAAATATATATCCATTCTAAAGGTGTTATTCAAGTGGATTAAAGAAAAAATATCTCTCCAAGCTCGTGTTTGATTGATAAATGAATCAGCTCGGATTGACTCATTTAAAAAACAAGTGAGACCTAACCCAGTTAACACACAATTTGATTAGGTGTTTGAGATTAGTTCGTTTAATTATAAGAACAAGCTTAGCTCGAGTTTTTACGAGTCAATCTGAGCTATGTTCGCAGAAATTTTTGTTCGAATAACAACTCTAGTCCCCCCAAATTTTTTTTCTAGATCCGCCCCTGCTTTTTAAGACTTTAGAAATCATCTTAGTGTATTTTATTTAGATTTTTAAGATTTTAAAAGTCTTGAGGTATTTATTTGCGATTTAAAAAAGTTACAAAATCGTGAGGTACTTAACTTATTTGAGACTATAATTTGTTAAGATTTTATAAGATTTTCTGGAATTTCAAAAGAAAAAAACAAATACGAAATCCCTCTCAAAATCTCAGGCTTAAGATTTCATATGATTCCTATCTGAAAATCTTAAAAAAGCCTCGAATCTCAAAAAGTCACAAAATAGTACACTATCTTATTATCAGGGGGTGTATTCATTTGAGATTTCGAATGAAATTTTGAGACTTTTTAAGATTTTTAGATTCATGAGGAATCCTGTGAAAAATCTTAAGTCTGGACGTGAGATTTTGAGTGAGATTTCATATATGATTTTAAATTTAAAAAATTTACGACAACAACCAATATTCCAGCAACCAACACGAAGAACACAAACGAGGCATTACAAAAACCGAGCATGCAGGACAACAAAGATAAAAAAGAACCGGCAAACAGCTTCTCCTTCTCCATCCTTTCCGAAAAGCGTAAGGCTTTGTTCGAGTCGCTCGAGCCAGTCAACAACGCGAACGGAAAACGCCCGTCAGCAGATTCCCTACTCCCACCTCCCGATTTTGAGTCCGCTACCTACCCCAAAGGCTGGCTCATTGGGAAAAAACGGAAGCTTGTCAATGTTGATGTTGTCGAGAGCATGCGGAGGATTGCTGTTCAAGAAATGAACCGAAAGGTAGTTTTTTCCAAGATAGTTAACAAAATATTGAGTTTTTTAGCTAGTCTTGCTTTATAACGGTTAGAGTAAAAAAGGTTTCGGTTAGTGAATGCAGGACAGGGAGATTGATGGGCTTAACGAGCAACTAGAAGAGGATGCACGGTGCCTAGAGCATTTACAGCTGCAGCTTCTTGACGAAAGAAGCAAACGAGCTGATGTGGAGAGACAGAATGCAATGCTTCAAGAACAGATAACGATGCTTATGGAGATGGTGCAGGAGAACGAACCAGTGGACGAGGACGAACAAGGTCCCGATGGAAACTAAAATTGTTTTTCCAATTATTAATTTGTGCCTTTATATTCTTTATGTGCACATGCTGTGGTATGTAGTGTAGAAAGTATAGAATTAAAGGGTTTGTCTGCTAAACTGTGTATACATTCCTGTGTTTCATCCTTATTTATGGTCTTTTTTTTTTNAATAAAAAAAAACAAAAAAACAAAAAAAAACAAAAAAAAACCCACACTGCAAAGCTTCTCGCACGTCTCAACGCTCTAACACGAAATTGATCAGTCTGCAAAACTTCTCAGGCATCTCAATATATTTAGGCTAAAAATGATTACACCGCATAAACCTTCTCACACATTATGGGCGAAAAATCACCATCCTCTACTAAGCTTCTCACAAATCTCGATGCATAAGTATGATGCACCGAAAAGAAGATTACTTTTATCAATTACACTATTGTAGAATGTAAATACGTACCATACGCTTGTGATCACACATTTAATTACTCCTATATATGTATATTAACATATATTTGTGTGATCACACATTTAAATTACTCGTATATATGTATATAAACATATATTTGTTACCAAACATTTCAAATCACTCCTTTTTTAATAGTGTCGGAGTCAAATATATTACAAAAATAATCACTCTGTCGGAGTCGAATATATTACAAAAATAATTAGTCTCGGAGTCGAATATATTAAGAAACTGCAATCGAAAACAGGACAGGAGTACTCCAATTTGAAACATTTAAAAAGTCACTGCAGAGCAGTGGTATTATTCAACTACTACTTTCTGATGTGCGCATTATTATTTTCTGTTCACTAGAATAGCAAGTGTGAGTAAAAGTTCCCATCTCCCAAAACTATGTAACCTAAAGAAAACAAGACAAAACAGCCAATTAATGTCTTGGCAAGACTCCCACATTAGACACTTAAGCATAACTTTAAGAGAAAATAAGTAAAAAATGTAAAACCTACACGCAACTAAAAATGACCTGCAACATGTATAGCCTTTGCCATGTACATTTTTTGCGCAACAACAGTAACTGCAGCAACAAACCTACACACACACACAACAAAGGACTCATCATCAACCTCAATCTCCGAATCCCCCAAGCAAGCAAACAAACTATAAATGAAAAGCACAATCAAATCAACCACAAAT